AAGCGCTTCTTGAAGATGTGGGAGGATAACGGCCGCGGTGCAACCTCGTCGGGATTGCAGTTCGCCGTGCACCTCGAGCAATCGTGCGTTCAGCAGCAAGATGATGAGTTTTCAAGCAGGGGCAAGTATCTCATCCCCGCGCAGATCCTCAAGGAGGAGGGTTACTCGTTCATGGGTTTCGACGCCCGCAAGGAGGCCATCGAGTTTGCAGTCACTTCGCGCGATGAGAACGCGGAAGAGTTCGACGCCAAGGAGGCGAATCCCGCGTGCATTCGTGACGCGAATGAGGAATTGAGCAGATATTTCTTCGTGGCGGGCGAGGGGCATCGGGAGTCCTGGAAGCAGACCCAGTCCAAGAAGATGTCTGGCTGCACGGATGTGAAGAACGGGGCGCAGCTCCTGAGCGTGCGCGACAGCATGGGCGCCCCGTTGGCAGCAGCAGCGTCACCATCCGACTCGAATGTGCAGATCAAGGACGAGGATCCCGCGATCCCCGAGGTGAAGGAGGCGGCGAAACTTCTAGAGACCGCAAAGGGAAATTTACCTTCGCTCCTCTCTCTTCCCGTTCCGCCGCTCCCTGGCCCAAAGCTCGTCGGTGCTGGGCGGCAGGGGTGCGGCGGGTGGGGGTGGGGGTGGGGCGGGGCGGGGTGGGGGGGGGGGAGGGGTGTGTGTGTGGTGTGTGTGTGTGTGGGGGGGGTGGGGGTGGGGGGGGGGGGGGGGGGGGGTGGTGTGTGTGTGTGTGTGTGTGTGTGTGTGTGTGTGTGTGTGTGTGTTGTGTGTGTGTGTGTGGGTGTGTGCGTGCGTGCGTGTGTGTGTTGTGTGGTGTGTGCGTGCGTGTGTGTGTGTGTGTGTGTGTGTGTGTGTGTGTGTGTGTGTGTGTGTGTGGTGTGTGTGTGTGTGTGTGTGTGTGTGTGTGTGCGTGTGCGTGTGTGTGTGTGTGTGGTGTGTGTGTGTGTGGTGTGTGCGTGTGCGTGTGCGTGTGTGTGCGTGCGTGTGTGTGTGTGTGTGTGTGTGTGTGTGTGTGTGTGTGGTGTGTGTGTGGGGGGGGGGGGGGGGCTCGGAGCTTCGGTTTTCTGCCTCCCAGGACTGACTTGGATGGGCTGCAGAAGATCCAGACGACTCTGCGCCAGTGCAAGAGCCAGCTCACTGCGGAGAGCACTGCCGCCAAGGTGGATAATGAGAAGAAGCTCTGGTCGGACTTCTCGGCGGAGCTCGAGAGCAGCGTCGATGTCCTGGGTAACTTCGTGGACGATTGCTACTGCCGCATCGCGCTAGCCGAGGGCGCGCACCCCATGGGCACGAAGGATTTGCCCGCTCTCAAGAAGAAGCTCGCCGACGCGAAGGAAATGCTCGAGCGCCACCTGACAGGGTCGACGGCTTGCAAACGCAAGTATTCCGAGCTGCTCGAGCAGGCGCGAGGCTCTGGCAGGCGCGCGCGAGCACGCTCGGCGGGGAGGGGCGGAGGGCGAGGACGACGGGATGGGTAGACGAGAATTGTATACAAGCATGGGGGATTGACAGCCAGGAGACACAGTGGGACTGAAGGACATGCGTTCGCAGAGTGCGCTGCCGCAACCGTACGTATACCCTAGCGGTTCGCCGCCGCTTCACTCCGGAAAATATGGGCGCGTCGACGACGCCGCGCCCCCTCCTGCGCATGCAAGAATCGATCCTTCATCTTTGTCTTCCGCATCAGCTTTGCGGCCCACATTCCTTTCGTTTTTTTCTTTTCTCCGAGGGCCGCTATGCTCGGCAAGCGCAAGCGCCAATGCGACGCTGCGGCTCTTCCTCCTGCAAGGAGGTCGAGGGCAAACGTGGGCGCGCTACTGGCGACCAACGCGCTCACCTACAACCAAGCCCAGTCGCTCTTCGACGACGCCCGCGCGGGGGGGCACGCAGGGCTGCTCTCCTTGACCAGCCGCCGAGGAGGTGATAAGAAGCGCAAATAGGCAAACGCCGGTGGCAATGCATCTAGGAGGCTGCGGAGACGAATGATTCGAGGGAGCTTGTGGCCCAGACCGCACTTCGCGCAGGTCAGCTGTTGGAACAAGAGGCGCGGCCGCGAGCAGAAGGAACGGGTCGCTTTTGGCTTGTCACGCGAATATTTTGCCCAGTTGGTGAAATACGGCTCGTTGGGGAAGCCGGGGAGCTTCGGCGGCCTGGGCAAAGGGGGGGCAGATCACGCGGCACGCTGCCTCTCGGAAATGCAAACTGCTTCGATGATTCCTGCAGGCTTGTGGGCCGACGGCGCCCCCCTGCCAGTGGGGCCGCGATCAGTCAGTAGAACTCGCGTGCTTAAATGCGCCTGGGCTGCCGAAAGCGATGGAGGGGCACAAGCCACGCGCACCCATCACTGGCTTGATGAAGGCCTCCATGAGCACGAACGCGTGGCATGACATGTTCGATGTGATTGCTCGGGGTTTTCGGCTCATGGCTACAGGCGCATGCCCTGCCGCCCGCCACGACGGCGCAGCTCGGTTAAAGTCTGACTTTCGCAAGGCCAAGAAGGCATCTGCAGATCTGGGGCACAGGTCTGCGCTGGTGCAAATGCGCGCAGATTGGGGATGTTGGAAGAGTGCATTCGGGCTCCCGCAGTTCAACGAGAAGGCGGGGTGCTGCTGGAGGTGCCGCGCGACGCCGCAGCAGGCCCCCCCCCCCCCCCCCGTGCTCTCCCTCGCCTGCTTCCTCGTGCTCCTCTTCGCCCTGCGCATCCCGCTCTCCTCGTTTCTCGCCCGCGCAGGTCTCCCAGCCACAGCGCATCTGCAGCGCGGCGCCGTGGCGGAGCAACAGGCGCACGAAGGCGCAATTGATCCAGCACCTTATGTCGGTTGGTCACGCGCAGTTGATTTGGGCGCTGCAGCAGATTGGTCGGGGCAAATGTTTTTCATGCTGATTCAACTTAAGAAATTTAGTGGCCCCGCGAACGACGCGCAGCGCCGTGAGTTGTGGGATCGCCTGAGTACTTGGCACGAGCAGAACCCAGAGATGGATCGCATCCATTCCTTGACCATGAAAACTATCAAGCACGATATGGTCACTGCTTTCAGGGCAGGCTGCCGTTATCAGGCACATGAAACCCTTTCGGAAAACACTCGCCGACGAGCCCTGCGACCCGAATGTCACGGAGGAGGCCGCGATGAGAGAGGCGATGTTTCATTTGTCTCAGCGTTATCTTTGCTTGAGAAGTGGTTGCCTGAAGGGGGACATTCTGAATGAGCAGTCGATCAAGTTTAGCCTGCAGTGCACCGCTCTGCGCGGCATGCGCCCGGAAGTGTTTCACATCAGACCGAAGCTTCATCAATTGCTCGAGATGGGCTTGGAATCATTGCAGGGCCATCAGCCCGAGACATGCTGGACTTACAGGGATGAGGATTTCGGAGGCACGGCCGCTCACTTCGCTAGGCGTCGTGGCGGCGCACTCACGCCCAAGGGCTTCAGTGTCGCATTGATGAGCAGATATTTTTCGCAGCCCTTCGCTCGGATCTGTTGATGGCTCATCGGCCAAATCCAAAACAGATGTCGCCTTCGCCTCCCCCTCCTGCGCAGGAGGCCCCCCCCTGTGCAGGAGAGGCTGCGCCGACTCGTTTCGGAGCTCTCCTTCCCCGCTCCCCCCGCCCCGCAATCCGGCTTTTTCATGTCCAATCGTATTCCTCGTGCTCATCTCCGCCGCCGCAGCCGTTTTTGGCTTCAAGTTTTCTGCAGGCTGCCCGACCCGAAGTCAGGATTTCACCATAAGAGTTGCCATGACAGCGTGGGGCGCTCGATGCTCGACGCGCGGCGCCCTCGCTGCGGCCGACGCGCAGCCCTGGCGCTACGTGCAGGCGCGGGGCGGTTCTGGGTGGCACCGCTGTTGCCAGCAATGCGTCCATAATTGCCGCCTTGGCCTCCACCAGAAGGTTCTGGAGCACTGCCAAGGGCCCAGGGCCGAGATGCTGGTCGACGAGCGGCTGGCGATCTTGTCGGAGACGCACGCGGCCAAAAACGGCGGGAGGGACTTACAGGCGAACCAGTTGCGACGCCTTCGCTGAATGAAGCGCGCGGCCCCTGCGCCCAGAATCGGAAGCCGTGCTTCCCCTTTTGCGCTCGCTGAGCAAAACAACGACGTCTCCTGTCGAGGAGACGCAGCGGGGAGGTAGAGGGAGGAGGAGGAGGAGGAAGGAGGAGAAGGAGGAGGAAGAGGAGGAATAACATAATATGATAAGGCCAACATGAAACCAACATATAATCAACACAGAACAACAGGAAATCAACGCATAATCAACACATAACAACATGAAAACCTCTCGCTTTAATTAAGGCAAACAGCTAATTAAGGCGAGCAGCCCTGTTTATCTTAATTAGCGCAAGCACTTAATTAGCGCAGATAGGACCCTCAAGGGAGGCAACGAACCCTCGTGCATTATGCAATACGCGCGTCCCCGAATCAATCAACTTGCGCAAAATAATACAGATGCGCATTGCCGAGGCCAAGAGTGCTCCAAGGCGCCAGAAGACGGTTCCAAGACGGCCCGGGAAGCCCAAAGAGGCCCCAAGAGCGCTCCAAGAGGCCTCCCGAAAAAGCCCCAAGAGGCCAAAGTCGCACATGTTACGAAAGTGGTTGAAGGATTTCACGTTTCCTTTTTGCCTCTCTCTCGATCCCGGGTGTCCTTGGCCGCCGCAGTCGCGGCCAACGGGGGCTGCGCGCCCTGCGCCAAGCCTCTGGCTGCGGCGCGGGACACGCGGAAATGGGGGCGTAGTGTCGGCCACTCGACCGCGCCAATCACATGGCTCACACCAGCCCCCTGGCACGCTGTGCGTCGATGGCTGCGCAGCAGACGCGCAAGGAGCGATGGAAAGGAGGTTGTGTGTAGTAATAATGCAGGGGGGGAAGGGGGGAGGAGGAGGGGGCCTAAACCGCTACGGGTGCATTCCCTTCTCCCTGTCTTTACTGCGGTGCATTCCCTGTTCCCTGCCTTCACTATGGATCTCTGCGCCGGCATGGAACGTGAACCGCCGGGGGCCTAGCTGCGCTGCGTTCCCCTCACTCTTTCACGTTTCCTGTTGCCTCCCTCGCGATCCCGGGTGTCCTTGGCCGCCGCAGTCGCGGCCAACGGGGGCTGCGCGCCCTGCGCCAAGCCTCTGGCTGCGGCGCGGGACACGCGGAAATGGGGGCGTAGTGTCGGCCACACGACCGCGCCAATCACATGGCTCACACCAGCCCCCTGGCCAACTGCCCCTTTTCTGCGGCCGGCCTTCCGCGGCCCCCGCTCGCCGCCCCTGCAGCCCCCCTCTTCTGAGGAGATCTTCGTGGCCAAGAGCACCCGCGGATCGCATGAGCTCCGCCGCCTTGGGTCCGTGGCGCCACTTGCCCATCTCGGCCGCGGCGGTTTCGATGTAGATTCGCGCTGTGCGGGCTTCCTGCCTCCGACCTGCGACTGCGACGCGGTCCAAGGACCCGGTGAGAAGCCGCAGCCAGGTAGCGCCTCCGCGACGCAGCCCGCGCGGCGTGACGGTGTCACCCTGCGCTCCGAATGAGCCAGCGAGCCATTTATTTTCAAGAGAGAACCGGGATGGCACTTTCGAGTAGACCGGCTGCTGCGAACCCACTCCGGCCGAGGCCGAACGGAGCGTTTCGACGGTCGCCGTGTCCTGGATAATGACATGCTCGACGCCGCCGGCCCTCTTCGTCCCCTTCGTGTCTGGCAGAACTATAATAGCGGTTCTCTAGTGCGGGCTAATATGAATTTGACTGGGGGTCAAAGACACAATCTCTGCCGGCCGCAGAAGACCCAAAAAGCCCACGAGGACGAGGGCCGCCAGGTCCGCCCGATCGTACGCAAGCGCAGCGCCAACCATGGCCCGAGCTAGTTCTTTAAAGACGGGGAAGGCGCGCTTACGCACTAAAACTTTATCACAATTCCTGAGGTACTGCCGGGTTGTGGGGATCGCCGCACGTGCGCCTGGGCAAAAACGCGCCATGGCAGACACCGTATCCGCCGCGTAGCCGTGGGAGTCGCCGTTGAGCCACATATGGTTGATGTATTCAGACAATTCATCGTCGAGCTCGAACATCGACTGTGGTATCCTTATATCATATGTTCGCAAATACTTGAAAACAACAATAAAGCCTTGTCGTAACGTTCCCGTGTTCTGTTGGTGATGCCCATTTCTTTGAAGTGTCTGTGTTGGGCCTCTTTGAGAAACCCTTTTTACTTAACAGCTTGTTCTGATAGGTTTCTAATGGGGTCAAAAGAGAACAGCAGATGACTCCACAGGGGGGTCTGGGCGGGTGCCGGACAGGGTGCCGCAGAAGTCGTTTTAAGCCAACAGCCACACACTTCGTGCTCTTCGACCTCCCAGAACTCCATTCCCGGGCCACATTCTGAATGCCCGGAGCCAACTGTAAGCCACTTCGTGGTCTTCGACTTCCCAGAACTCCATTCCCGGGCAACATTTTGAATGCCCGGAGCCAACTGTAGGCCACTTCGTGGTCTTCGAGTCCCCAGAACTCCATTCCCGGGCAACATTTTGAATGCCCGGAGCCAACTGTAGGCCACTTCGTGGTCTTCGAGTCCCCAGAACTCCATTCCCGGGCCACATTTTGAATGCCCGGAGCCAACTGTAGGCCACTTCGTGGTCTTCGAGTTCCCAGAACTCCATTCCCGGGCCAGATTTTGGATGCCCGGAGCCAACTGTAGGCCACTTCGTGGTCTTCGAGTTCCCAGAACTCCATTCCTGGGCATGATTTTGAATGCCCGGAGCCAACTGTAGGCCACTTCGTGTTCTTCGAGTTCCCAGAACTCCATTCCCGGGCCACATTTTGAATGCTGAGGCAGGCTGAGGCTGAGGCTGAGGCAGGCTGATGCTGAGGCAGGCTGAGGAGGCTGAGGCTGAGATGCCTGAGGCTGAGGCAGCCTGAGGCTGAGCCCGGGCTGAAGGCAGACTGAGGCTGAGGCTGAAGCAGGCTGAGGCTGAGGCTGAAGCAGGCTGAGGCTGAGGCAGGCTGAGGCTGAGGCTGAGGCAGGCTGAGGCTGAGGCTGTGTCTGTGACTGCCGTTGCCACTGCGACTGTCATCGCGAATGCGACTACGACTGCGAGAGCAGCACAATTCTACAACTGGATTCTCATCTGAATCTTAAGGGGAATGCTTCCAGATATGCTCCTACACATCGCTGTTAGGTTGCTTTGCCGGGATAATCTTATTTTTCGCGCGTTACTCATGGCGCCAGAGGTGGCTCGCGGCATCCGCGAACTGCCATTGTGACATGGTCCAGACCCCCGCAGAATAGACATCCATTGCGAGTTCGTAAGCCATCAACCGCCGCCTTGGGCGATTTAGCCTTCGGCTTGAGCTTCTTCCTTTGGCAACCACAGCTTGGGCCACCTGGCTGTCGAATACGTCAACGAACCGCAGAGATTGAAAACGTCGGGAACGATACTTTTTGCGAACATACTTTAAATATGATATAAGTTCTAATACGTTGATGTGCTGGGACACCTTCCACGGATATGCCTACGCCGTCTCCCACTGCCAGGCGAAAGCCGGGTAAGGGGCACTTTGAGCCTGCTGGGCGACTTCACCTGTCGCCAAACATGCGTGGGAGCCTCGGGCGTCTGCCCGCGCCACCAATGCTCTCAGGTGGTGGTGCTCCTGTCCGGGGAGCATGCCGCCGAGTAGCCGCATGATCTCGCCCGTTGCAACCGTAGGCCTCTCCGCGCTGCCATTCCGACGGGATTGCCCCAGCTGTGCCAGAACCCGGCCAGGGCGGTCCAACGGAGCCCTGGGCGCCCCAGAGGCACCGACACCAGCGAACGTCACGGCGAGAGCCTCGACGCACGCGCGTCGATGCTCGTCGGCCGACCAAGGGCCGCGCACACGCGCACCAGCAAATGCTGCATGCAGGCGCGCGCTGTTGTGGAGCAGGCACCAAATGGTGGCCCCCCCTCTCGCGTCGCCGCTCAACGCAGCAACGCGGGTGCAGAAGATGGCGCTGCACTCCTGCAGGTCGATGATGATGATGATGATGAAGCGCCTTGAAAGGTCGGTTCTCCCAAAACACAAACCTGAGAAGCCACCAATACGCCAAATGCGTACGGTAGAGAAAGAGGGAGGCGAGAGGAGAGGCGGAAGGAAGATGAAGCAGAAGAAAGGTGAAGCCCAGCCCAGGATTGAAACCCATGATACTGAAAGAAATCATGAATGATAGATTGTCCGATGTCCCAAATGAATCCCACCACAAGGTCTCTCTTGCTTTGAATGAAGAAGAGAAAAATGAGAAACGTAATGCAAGATAAAGGAGCATGCTCAAATTGATCAACAATCTTGAGTGGCTTGAGTAGCTCTTGAAGCCAATCTTGGGGGCATATGGTCCCAAGGTCTGAAGTAAGCAAGAAGTAAAGAAATCTTTCATTGAGTCCCATGAAACCCATTGAACATAAGTAGCAACCAAGACGGATATATGTACTGAACGAAAGTCTAAAATAGAAACTGAATGTCCCAAGCACGCAATGAACCCAGAAGATACGGAGGCATACAAGATGGAATGTCAAAGCCGAGTGAGAACTCAACCGTGACAACCCACCCCAGGCATATCAAGACCAATGGAGTAAGGTTGAATTCAAACAAGTATGGAGGGCGCAAGATGGATCTGTTTATAACCTTTTGTATTTTGCCAACCAACAACGTTGAAGAACATGCATAGGAGATTGAGGGATACTGGGAGTCCTCCAAAAGCCGCAGGCCCATGCACCGCAGACGCCAGGGGATTCAGTCTGTCGGAGTCCCAGGAATTGCATTCACGGGTACTTCCAGCGCCACTTTTCCACAAAGAAGTCTCCGTCCCACCAGTAGTCAGATAGGTACCATACCACTGGGTGAGGCCAGCCCGATTCGGGGTCGAACCACGTGTCATAGTACTCCGTATACCAGACTTTGGTGTAGACTTTTTCCTCTTCACAGTAGTTCCACATTCCTCCTGAGCCGTGTGTCCACTTGAGACGCCTCTTGGCGGCTAGCTTGACTGGAAGGCTGCGTTTGGCCATCCCCTGGAATTGGATATGGATGTGGATGTTTCCCAGCCGTCTCGGACGAGAGTTCCCGTCAGCATTTGAGGCGAAACGGCTACTGACCAGCAGCCAGTTCTTTCCAAGGAACTCTCCGAACCCTTTCGTCGGGACCCCGAACGTTGACATACAGTCCCTTAAAGCCGCTGTCCCGACAAGCTTTGAAAAGCGGGATTTTGCACCAGTCATAAGTGAAATGAGGACCACCAAGGTCCGATGGTACAAGAAACCGAGCTGGCAACTTGACCACCCTTTGGAATAGCAGCGTAGAGCAGTATGAGAGTGCCTCAAGATCTTGTTTAGACAGGAAGCAGACTTTGCGTTTAGACCTGCAAAGCTTCCCCTGAAAGATAACGTGAGGGTCCGATGCCTTGGGAAGTAGCATACTGAAAGCTTGAGCCCGAGGCTGCAGGAGCCGACAGGAGGCAAGGGAAGGGGAGGGGGCCACCCCCCCAGACCCCAAGAGAGGAGAACAGACTCGAGTCCCAGAACACGGAGGCATCCTGAGGAAGGATGGATTGTTGCGAAGCCACGGTGTCCCTAAGATCGCATGGACCAGGCGGGTCCCAGATAGAATCGCACAAGTGACATCTCCTGGTGTCAGCCAATCCCCTAGGTGGGAGGCAAAGAGAGGAGAGGAGGACACAAATAGGTCTCGATACAGACCCAAATGCAAATTCCGTGGGGCGTCAAATACCCCGCTCCATTAGTATTGGAGCCTGTTCTCTGAGGCCGCAATTAGGTAAGATACCCAGACCTCTGAAGATTCCGTGACATTAAATTTGTGCACTTGCATTCCGTGAAACATTGCCACGGCAAACTTCCGAGTGTGAGGTGCACATGGGCCGCGAAAAAGGCGACGGTCTTTCCCGGTCCTAGCAAAAGACCCATGTTGATCAGCAAACGTCAAAATAGACCGAATGGAGCAGATGATAGGAGAAATCCCCTGAATAATGTTCCAGAACTGATCTGGTTCAACATACCCCGCTCCCAGCCCTAACTCCATCAAATCTCCAATAAGCTCTAGCCATCGAGAAGTGTCGGGTTCCCTGTTCCACCGCTCTCGGACCATCCTCTGTACATCGGTGACACGACCAGCAACTGAGCGAAGCTCCTCCATGGACTTGGACGAGGCACTGGTAGGTTGTCGTCTTTGAAGATACCTGGCCATTTGACCCCAAATATTCCACCAGACAGTGTAGATGAAATTCCCAGGATCTGACCAGCGGTTGTCGTAGAACACTGCGCCCTTGTATGACATTGTCTTAATCTGTACAAAAGACATAGAGCGTACTGCAATTCCCACGATCCCAATAAGGTCCTTGCATGCCTTGCTTGAGAAAAATTCCTCAAAGAGATTCCATAGCTGCCTGAGGGGTATCTCGAATTCGCGCCCCTTCTCATACATGTGGAGTGTGACGCATTTCCGTGGGTTGTATGATCCTGAATTTACAGGAACGATCTCGGAACTTTCGATTGCCAGTGCACGTGGGCAGACGGATGCCCACGCCTCGAAGATACAGCACTGGAGAGACTTTGAATTCCATGGCCTGACGACCCTCTGAGGGGCAAGCATGAGAGTGTGTTCCCAGATAACTTGAGAAGGGGTTGGAGCAGAACGGGCAAAGCGAATTGAACCAAAATGACTACAGGAAGCAACCAGGACACCAGGACAACCGAAAGATGTGGATTCAAAAGATGGAGAGATAGAGAAAAGAGGTGCACTTTATCAGGGGTCGGACGGCAGTCATCGTCCTGGCCAGCGAAGTGGAATTAACAATCCCAGGCCAAACCCATTTGTACTGAAGTGAAGCAGCAAACTGATCGCCCGACTACCCCAAGAAGAAATTTGAAACTTGAAACTTGAAACTTGAAACTTCGGGGCCCTGGGCAAAAGAGTGAGAAGAAACCCTACTTAACCCCGTCAGCCGAATTGAGAAGAATATGATGCAGTCCCAGCTCATGATAAATGGCCTGGAGGCCTAATACCCTGAGACACTTGTAATCCC